TGTTCGGGCGCCACTTGTCGTGAGTGTCTAGGGCACTCTGAACTCCGGGCAAGGTAAACACACACGCACGCCTTGTCGGGACACGGGGGGTACAGCGCTTGAAAAAGAAAGACAGGAGAGACACCTTTGCTGTCTGCACCGCGTTACACTGCACTGCACGCACAATCTTTATTTTATGATTCATATATAGTAAACCCGATCAGTTCACAGAGCCCAGATAATTAAGTAGTGAAAAGGCATTCTTTGTGGCAAGCTACAACGTGACAGACTACAATGTTTATTCTAAAACTATCTAAGTGAAGTAAATAATCACAACCAGTTCTCATAACTTCTCTAGCCCAGGAAGAAATTCATTAGCTCAAGAATGTTGTTAATTTGTCTGCTGTTAGTGTCACAAAGGGTGGCCAGCCACTTCCTCAAGACTTCTGCAAAACAAAGCCAGCTCACAGTATGGATTCCAGAGGGTGAGGGGCTCACTGAGAACAGGCATTCCTATTCTACCTCCTTCTCGCATACCAGGGTGGCTATTGTAAATTGCAGGTTAGAGGGGGTTGGGCCTACAAAGTGACACCTCATCCCCCACAAGCAGTGACATGTACGACTTAAAGATGATGAACTTTTTAACTTTGAGGACTTGAAACCGCGTATGTAATTCCAGTGCTCAGGAGGCAAAGTATTACCTGTGCTGGGCATGGTGGCATGTCTGTGATTGCAGGAGGCTGAGGCAGGAGGATTGTGGCAAGTTTGAGGTCAGCCTGGGCTATGCAATGAGTTCAAGGCCAGCCCGTACTACATAGGCAGTCCCCATGTCACAAACTAATTTTTTTTTTTTTGGCTTTTTTTCATTTTTATCAGTACCAGGGATCGAACTCACAACTGCCTGCTTTTAAGGCAGGTGCTTATGCCGCTGAGCTAAATCCCCAGCCCCCAAAAACTAATTTTTTAAAACACTCTGAAATTTATACAATTATATCTCTTTTCATCAGTTTTACAATATCCAAAAAATTTGGATTTTTTTGTTTGCTTTTTAATTTTCGCAGTGCAGGGGATCAAAACCAGAGCCGAATGCGTGCTGGGAAAGCCCAGTACCACTGAGCTACACTTCCAGGCGCTGTGGATGTGCTCGCTGTGCGGTCACTTTAACCAGCTTTTGTCTCTGTGAGCAGCCGGTCCCCAACCCTCTGTCCTCTCCCAGGGCCTGTCGTCTTCCTTCCTTTTCACCGCTGGTCCTTTGCTCTAATGTTTTGGTGGGATGTTTTTTGTTTACTTGGTTGTTTGGGGTTTTTGTTATCTTGTTTCGTTTGCTTTGTTTTGAAACAGGGTCTCTCTATGTAGTGCAGGCTGGCCTTGAGCTCACTTTGTAGCCCAGACTGGTCTGGAACTCGCAAGGATCCTCCTGCCTCAGCCTCCCGAGTGCTGGGATTACAGGCCTGAGCCACCACGCCTGGCTTTTAGGTCTGTTCTTTAGTGCCTCTGATTGGACTTGGCTCTCTCTCTAAAGGTGTTAAATTTTTGTGCATTCTTCCTTCTCCCTAGTCAGTGCCTTTCCCCCTCGGCCTCCTCTTTCTCACTCCTCATTTCCAAACTTCCTAGTGATATCACCAAAACCCTTCTGAAACTTTCTTTCCAATCCTGCAGCAAAGATTTCCCCAGCCTCCTGTTTTCTTCCTGGGCCCTTTCCGAGGACCCTGTGTTCTCTCTTCCATGTTTTCTCTGTCTCTGCATGTTTACTGCAGAGCCCGATTCTTTTCCTACCTTTAATAAATGCAAAGCCTTGCTTTAAAAAAAAGGGGTGGAGGCCAGGGATTTAGCTCAGCGACACAAGTGCCTGCCTGGCAAACGCAAGGTCCTAAATTCAATCCCCAGTAGCAAAAGGAAAAAAAACAGGTGACTAAAATAAAAGTACCCTTTTGTTTGTTTTAAAGAATTTTTTCAGAATCCTTATAATGTTTTTCTTTTGGGGTTTGTAGTATTGGGGATTGATTATTATGGTTTAATTCACTACGCAGTACACCCTCAAGACTGCTATCCTGGTCTCACTAAATTTTCTAAGCTGGCCTCAAATTGATTCTTTCTTTCCTTCTGGAATTGAGCCCAAAGTCAGCTACATCCCCAGCTCTTTTACTTAATTATTTTTATTATTTTGAGGCAGAATATTGCTTTGCCTCCATGGAAATCAACCTCGCAAGCCTGCCTCAGCCTCCCAGAGCACCAAGAGCACAGTGTGCACCCCCACGGCCAGCTCAGATGCCACTGAGCAACTTGCTGGACAAACGTGAGGCCCACTGTTAGCCAGCGCTCTCCCCGCGGGGCCGAAGGCAGCCCCATCCCTTCAGGTCTGCGTGGGAAGGCCCCGCCTCTGGTCCGGTCCTTGCTGTACTGTCCCACATCAGTTCAGGCGACCCAGCAGCCCCACGCTCACCCGCCCTCCCTCCCTGACCCGACTCCCCACGTTGGCTTTCCAGTCCTTGGTCTGCTCTGTTTCCTAATAGCAGGTTTCTGTGTGGTTCTGTTGCTGAAGCTTCTGCTCGTGTATTATTTCAGGAGCCTTGTGGCTTTGGGCCACTTCCTTCTTCATGTATCTTTCAGTTTTAGACTACCTTACCTCTGATGACTCTCCCAAGTTGTCTCACAGACGGATCACCCACTAACGCCGGCCCAGCTGGTCACCAGTCACCCTGCAGTTCCAGCACCTCTGCTGGGCAGAATGCCAACCTCCAGCCACTGTAGGTCGTGGATACACGTCTGTCTTTGACTCAGCTGCTTCTTCCTCGCCACTCAGCTGGGGTTTGGATAATGGGGTCTGTATTAGGCAGCTATTGCTGTGTAACAGTTCCATTCTGACCCAGGATCGTACTGTCAGCTGAACGGCTACACAGAACCCCTCCAAGGAGGCTGCAGGGATGATAAGAAACCAGCTTCTGAGGGTGGCAGAGTGACAAACCAAGGGACATCATTCACAACCTTTAAAGTATCCTCTATGCTGGGGATTTAGCTCAGTGGCCTGAGTTCGATCTCCAGTACCCCCCAAAAAAGTATCCTCTACACCAAAATAAATAAATAAATAAACGTTCAGTTACCTGATACAGAAGAGTCCCACAGTAGACGTGTGCCTGATCCTTAAAGTTAATACTGTTCAGGTTTAAAACGTATCCCCCAAAACAGAGAGAATGTAAATACTTTAAGCAAAAAGGACAGAAAATATCAGAAGCAATATGGGAATATTTACAAAGCATTAAAGAAACCAACAGAAACAAAGCCAAGTATCAGTCACCAGGGTAACTGTCTGAGTCAGAGGCAAACAACTGGGGAAAGTTCAGGGTATTTTCCTTTTTTTTTTTTTCAGGTTTCCTCTTAGCAGGTGAATTCGATTTTTCTCCATCCAGTTCTTCTGTCTTATAAATAGCAGGACTGCTCCCAGATTCTGGCTTTGGTTTCGTACAGTTTCTCCGTTTTCCGTGTCCTGATACCTGCTTACGGTACATGACTGAGCGGGCCTTGGGAGATGCTGCACCGAGGCCCTGGCAGGGGACCGGCTTCCGTGTGACGTCCTCCTCCTCCTGGTCCTGTGCCCTGGACAGGCACTCCTGCGCCTTTCTGTCTCCCAGGGCACAGCACAGACTGGCCAGGCAGGAGTTTTTACATTCCTTTTGCTCCCAACACCAATCTGGGTCTCAGCCCTGCAGCTGTGAATCTCTAAGTCTCCTACGCAACGCAAGGGCTTGCTGAACAATTGCTGAGTCACAACTGACTCTTGGGGGCACCGCGATGCACACCTGTAAATCCCAACACTGGGGAGACTGAGGCAGGAGAGTTGTGCGTTTGGGCCAGAGTAGGCTATGTAGTGAGTTCAAGGTCAGGCTGGGTTATACAGCAAGACCTTGTCTCAAAACAAAACAAAACAAACAAAAACCAGGAAACACAACTTCCACTTAATAGAAACAAGCCTCAAACCAGTTCACACAACCAAAATGTTCCAAGGACTGATTAGGCTTCAGGACCGGTTGGATCTTCAGGTTCCAATTGGGCTGATAAGACTTCGTCTGTTCATCTCTTGTTCTTCCCTCTATTCACTTCTTGTTCCCACAGGCACAATGGGCCACCAGCAACTTCAGTGGCCCCATAAAAACAGAATTTCTGTCTGGGCTCAGCAGCCTGCCTGGCAAGCATTAGGTCGTGAGTTCGATTCCCAGTACAAAAAAAAAAAAAAAGCCAACCCTTCTGCAACCTCAGAGTACAAAAACAAACAGAAAGATTACCACGGGCCTGGCTTGGCTGGTACAGCCATCACCATGTCAGAACCTAAGGCCGGAGGATGGGCTGCTCTTCAGCGGGAGAAGGACTGGATTAAACATCTATTCAATGAAAGGGAAAAAACTCAACCAAAGCCTGTTACCCTCTGGCTGCGGGGCAGAAAGGAATCTTGAGACCATGAATCTGCTTTGTGCTTCCTAGTTCACAAAATACTCGTCATAAACTGAGCACAGTGATCCATTCCTACAGTCCGGGCACTCAGAAGCTGAGACGGGGAGAGCCCTGAGTTCAAGGCCAGCTTGGACTGAGTCAGAGGGTTTCAAAAATTAAGCCAGAAGTCGGGCACGGTGGCTCATGCCTGTAATCCCAGCACTCGGGAGACTGAGGCAGGAGGATCGTTTCGAATTCAAGACCAGCCTGGGCTACAAAGTGAGCTCAAGGTCAGCCTGAACTGCATAGCGAGACCCTGTCTCAAAAAAGACAAAAAAAAAAAAACCTAAGTCAGAGTCTCCAAAACATGAGAAAATAAAACACCTGACACGGGGGCCTGCTGGACCCTTCCAGCCAGCCCGCCTGGCACCTCACTGCCCTGTGCACAGAGCAGGCAGCTGAGCCCTGAAGTTTTGGCTCAGTCTTCACGCAGGTGAGGAACTCAGAGGGGCTGAGGACAGGAGCGTGCAGAGAGGAAGCAGACTGACCCCAAGCAGCTTCCTTCACACGAGAAACTCCCCACATCCTCCGTGGCCACGACTTCCCCTCACTCACGGCCGGTGGACCTGTGGTCCCTCTACCCCAGCGGCAGCGGGCCTCAGATCCTGCCCGCCTCTGTCTGCAACACCTCTGCCGTGACCTTTGCACCGCTCCAGACTGTTTTCCTGGACCCAGGAACCTGCAGCTCACTTTCACTCGCTGCTGCCCGTCTGACTCTCGCCATGTGCACCGGAAAGTGTGCCCGCTGTGTGGGGCTCTGGCTCATCCTCCTCTCCCTGGGCTGCATCGTGGCCAATGCCCTCCTGCTGGTGCCTAATGGGAAGACCACCTGGACCCAAAACCACCTCAGCTTACAAGTCTGGCTCATGGCTGGCTTCGTCGGAGGTGGACTGATGGTGAGAAAGCTGGAGCACGGGCCAGGGATCTGGGTGCCACTCTGCGGGTGCAGGACAGGATGGCGGGGGAGGGACACGGGGAAAGGATGGGGTCCAGGAGGAGCGGGGAAGGGCTTGCTGGGTCTAGAGCCTGCCCCATGTGCTCCTACACTGGGGGAACCTCGGTGCTCTGAGCTGAAGGTTTGAGGGGAAGGGAAGGGGAAGCAGCTCTAAGGAGGGTCCCTGCTCTGGGAGCGTGTCCTACCTCCCCTTCAGCCTCCACGTAAACAGATGCTGGCCGCACCTCCCGACCTGGGCAGCAGCACAAGGAACAGCTGGTTATGTGGGAGGCTGCGAGCACAGGGTAATAATAGGCCTGGGGGCATTGAAAATGCTTGGAGTGGGGGGACACCATAGATCAGCCACCCTGCCTGTCAGCTCAGGGCTCCCTCTCCCTTCCCCACGTCCAGTCACCCTAGCCCACACTTATGGACATCCACTCTGCTGAGTGCTAAGGATAAGAAACTCAGAGCCTGTCAGCATGGCAGAGAAGGAGCCCTCCATGCTTCTGCAGGAGAGATGGGGGAAGAGGAGTCGCTCCGCCCAGGCTTCCTAAGCCCCGTGTTCCAATCCCCTCCTCAGTCAGAACTTCCGGGTGGTCAGTCTAGTGCAGCATCTTCATGGGGTAAAGATGAAGATCTAGCTGGGCTGTGGTCCTTGCCTGTAATCCAAGCACCCTAGGAGGCTGAGGCAGGAAGATCACGAGTTCCAGCCCAGCTTTGGGCAACTTTGTGACCTACTGGGACTGTCTCAAAATTGAAAGGCCGGATGGGAACGCAGCCTATGTGAAGGCTGTGAGTTCAATTCCCAGTACAAAAAAATCTATCCAGCTCAGTTCCTGAGTTCCCATGACAACTGGCTGATAAAATCTTGTGGAAATTTCACCTTTGTCCCTTTTGCTGGTGACACTTCTGTAGTTAAATGAGGACAGCTCTCCATTAACCAACAACCCTCTTCCCGTCTGACCCTGCTCCTCACCTCCTGCACAGTCTCTTCCTCTCTGACCCGCCTCCCACTGTCTCAGAAATGTCATCTTCTCCCGGTTTACATTTACGGTTCACCCAGTGTCGCCTTGTGCCTCCTCTCCAGCCTGAACTACCCCTCCTCCTCCACCCGTCTGACTGGTCTGCTTCGGGTGAGGTCTCCACCCTGCGAGCCCAGCACCCTCACCCACAGCTTCCTCGCTCCCCGAGTTTGCCCACCATCACTCTCAGGGGGTGCCACACTACACCACAGGGGCACGGACAAAGTCCCCGCCCCCTGCTCTCTCTAAAGCTGCATTCCCATTGAGGAAGAAAAGGTACCCAGGAGAAAGACAGGAAGCCTCACGGCAGCAAGGACCGCCCAGTACACAGGCTGCTGGGTGCCGGGGCCTACACCAGCGCCTGCACCCACGGGCACCTGCTTAACAGTCACAAGATGAAGTAAGGAGATCATTTTAGTGAGTTAAGGGGCAGGGATTTAGCTCAGTGACACAAGCGCCTGCCTGGCAAGCGCAAGGTTGTGAGTTTGATCCCTGGTACCAGCAAAAAAAAATTAAGGAGACAGGTAAGCAAGACAACTTCAGATTGAGTAGGTACAATTATGAAACAGAGTTTCTAGAGAAAGGCGGGGTCAATCTGTCCGTGTGTGTGTGTGTGTGTGTGTGTGTGTGTGCATATGTGTGTATGTGTGTGCATGTGTGCATATGTGTGTGTGCACATGTGTGCGTGGGCATGTGCGTGTTCTGAGGACTGAACCCAGGTCTTGGTGCTTACTAAGCATGTGCACCACCACTGAGCTACACCTTTGGCCAGGACCACTTGTCACAGCATTTCCAAGCAAGGCTCCATCACAGGGCTTCTAAGGTCACACACAAAATGACAAAGGAAGGCAGGAAGGTCACAAACAGGTGCCACACTGATCCAAGGGTCCAACAGGCAGCCGGTGCACCGAGGTTCAACATGATGAGGTCTGAGGTGGACAGACGCCAGGCAGTGTTGCCCTAGAAAGTTGCAAAGAGCATCCGAAGCGGGCAATGACAAACCTTTTCTGACAGTGTAGAAGCTTTTCTTTTTCTAGGATTTCGTTTACATATTGTGTGTAGCTGTAGTTTTAAAACTTTCTCGTAGACTTCATTGTGAGAATATACTCAGTTTAGCTGGACATGGTGGTGCACCCCCATAATCCCAGCATTTGGGACACAGAAGAGGAGGATCTCGGCCTTCAAGGCCAACCCGGGCTACACAGTGAGCTCAAGGCCAGCCTGAACTGCACAGTGAAACCCTGTCTCAACAAGGCAACACAAACAAACAAAAAAAGCCCCAGTGTATTTAAATTCTGAGGTTGATAGACATTTGGATAGTTCGGTTTATTGCTATTGTGAACATTCCTAGTTTGTTTTTGTTTGGTACTAGGAATCAAACTCACAACCTCAAGCTTGCCAGGTAGGCCCTTAGCCACTGAACTGTACGTCCAGTCCCATGTCCTTAGGTATCTTTAGGTGAACATACATGTGCATTTCTTTCATCTTCTTGTTTTGTTTGTTCATTGGCTTTTTGGTTTTTCATTTTCCAGTTTTTGTTCTTGTCTTTTTGAGACAGGGTTTCACTATGCAGTTCAGGATGGCTTTGAACTTACTTTGTAGCCTAGGCTGGCTGCAAACTCATAGAGATCCTGCCTCAGCCTCCCAAGTGCTGGGATTAGGATGTGCACCACAATGCCCGGCTTGTTTTTTGAGACAAGGTCTTGGAATATGTGCCAGGCTGGCCTCAAACTCATGATGATCTTCCTGTCTCAGCCTCATGAGTGTTAGGGTTACACACCTGCACCCTGTGCCCAGCATAAAATGTTATAAATATATTTTCTTGTCTTTTTGAGACACTGTCTCACTATGCAGTTCAGGCCGGCCTTGAGCTCACTTTGTAGTTCAGGCTCATCTTGAACTTGCAGCGTACTCCTGCCTCAGCCTCCCGAGTGCTGGGATTACAGGCGTGAGCCACCACGCCAGGCTATAAATGTATTTTTGAGCCTCTGAAAAAGAAACCCAAGCCCTCGCACAAGGTAGACAAGCACTGTAACACTGAACTACAACCCCCACTGAAAAATAAAATAAAACATGTTTAAAAAGAAAATTGGTAAATTGGCCAGCTATTTGGAAGATTGAAGCAGGAGAAGCGAACTGGGCCAACACAGACTTTGCCTTAAAATTTAAAATTAAAAAAAAAAAAAAAATCCGAGTCAGTGGGGCTGAGCGTGAAAAGCTAAGAGAAGCTGAGGGGCGGTTGCAGGGTGACCAGGGCGAGCGAGCGCTCAGCCTCCCCAACCTGCAGCAGGTCCCCCCTCTGGCTCCTTCCCTTCTGCCTCCCTCCCACTCTGCTTCCTCCAGCCCTACGGACCCAAAGGCTGCCTGTGTAAACAACAGAGGAAATAGTGGCTGAGCTTAGCCTCGGCCCTGCAGCCACCAAGGGCTTGAGACCCAGACGAGGAACGTAACCAAGAATGGCCCCAGATCACCCATTTTCCAGTCTTTAGTGGGAACCTCAACACAGGTGGTGAAGAAATCAGCGGTGTAGCCGTCTCTTCTAAACATGGGCCGTGGCCAGCCGTGCGTGCACAAAGCTGTGCCTTTGATCAGCGCTGCACCGAGGGCTGTGTCCCAGGCCATGTGAGCGAGAGCGGGCGGGTGCTGGCCGCTCAGACCTCGGACATCAGTTTGGCTACCGAGCCCAGGCCCAACAGAGCCCATGAGCTGAAGACAGCAGCACCTGCCACGTCCTATCGACGTCGCTGGTCGTGGTGCCAGTGCCCAGGACAGTTCCCATGAGACCACCGTGGGTCACAGTGCCCTTGGCTCACTGTGTCAAAACGACGGTCCCTGTCAAGCTGTTTGCCTGCTCCGCAGCCGTGGTCACTGATCATTAAAGACCAAGGAGCTGCAGGTCGTCAGGCAGAACTGACGCAGACCAGGGCAGGATGGCGTGGGCCTACAATCCCAGCACTCGAAGGCCGAGGTAGGAGGACCTCCCAGAGTTCAAGGACTGCCTGAACGACACATAGAGACCCTGTCTCAGAAACAGAAACAAAAACACGCACACAAACACACGCACTCAAACAAAAACAGCAGAACTGACACAGATCGAGTCCAACCTTCATGCTCACTTGGATCAAACTGCTGAGGAACTAAAGGCCAAGCCAGACCGCAAGGAACAGGTGACACCAGCAGTGCCAGTGGTGGTATCAGTGGTGGTAATGATAGTGAAGGCAGCAGCAGCAGGACACACAGTCTGGGGCAGGCACAGCCCCGAAGAAGCCCAGACACCAGGTGAGGGTGCTGAGGAGGGGCGGCTGAGGCATCCCGGGACACTGCAGCACGGCCCGGATACAGATGCAGAGCACGGGCCTCTCAGTAAGCAGCCTGGCAGGAGCAGTGGCCATCAGCAGGAGGACATCACCGTCCGAAGAATAGAAGGTATGTCCAGCAGAAAGAGTTCAATGTGGGGTGTTTCTCAGAGGTTGCTATAGGTGACACAATAGAGCTGACGCCCTTAGCCTTTTCCCTGGAGAGCAAAATGAAAATGTGTCCTAGCAGACCAGGCATGGCAGCGTACACATGTAATCCCAGCACTTGGAAGGCCAAAGCAGGAGGATTACTCCAAATTCAAGGCCAGCCTGGGCTACATGGTGAGTTCAAGGCCAATGTGAACTAATAGATGCTATCTTAAATTTTTTTTTTCAAAAAAGACTCATTTTTGCTTGATCAAGACCGTTGTGGAGATCCAAGGATGAGAGACGAGCAAAGAATCTGGCTTGATGCAAAAAATACAGAGACTGGAGGTAGAGAAGGACCCTAAATGCCTTGCTGGGGTTCAGTCTTGATGGGTTACTCCATAAAGAGACCTAAAGGACGTGAGCAAAGCAAAGGCCAGCTGAAGACTAAGTTTATTACGCTGGTGGTCTCTGGGAGGGAGTGTAGAGCCGCTTGGGACTGTGAGAACCTGGCATGGGAGCTGAGTACGTCTCCCTTATGGAAAGCGATGATTAGGGACTGAACGTGGGGAAGGAGCTGGACACGATGGTGCATGCCTGTGATCTCAGCACTTGGGAGGCAGAGGCAGGAGGAGTGCCACAAATCTGAGGCCAACCTGAGCTACATAGTGAATTTCAGGCTTTCATAGGCTACGTAGGAGACCCTGTGCCAAAAATAAAAAGAGACAAGAAAGTCAAAGAGAGATGAATTTGGAGAGAATTACGGAGTCACTTTGAGGCAGGCTCAGTCCGAGCTAAAACCAAGCCGTCTGACTGAAAATATCAAGCAGCAGTTAGATTTGAATTTTCAGGCAAGCTGTTGGCAGACAGAACAGCTAATTCCTGGGAGGAATGAAGCTTGTGAGAAAGGCCACTAGGAGAAACAAAAAACAAAACAAAAAAAAAATCCAAGGTCCAGCTCTCAGGACGCCCACACTCTGCATCAGAGCATCTATAAACCAGTCACCCACATAAGCTCACAAGATCGTCTGACAGCCCTGCCCTTCCTCTGATAATATTTTACAGCGTGTTTACTAGCTAGTTTCGACACCACTCAACCCACTATCACTTCAGATCTGGAGAAAAGCCCTGTGAATAGGTAGGTCTTACAGATTTGTTTTATGTAGAACCAAACTGAGACCTGGGAAAACCAGTCAACTCATAGAGTGGAATGTGTGACAGGCGTGGTTGGCTTCCAACCCAAGCCTCTTGAGTCCCATGTAACTGGATATTTACTACATGCCAAGTTTGTGGGAAACACATAGCATTGGACCCTGCCTTCCAGAAGCTGCAGTTTGCACAGAGATAAGGAAGGTAAATAACAGCAAATTAAGATAAGCCCAGTAGTGCTGGGGAAGGTAAAGATGAGGTCTTCCTATCTGCAAAGGCCTGAGGGCAGTATAGGCAGCTTCCCCGAGGAGGTAAGCCATGAAGAGCCCAAGGGAGGCCTCGAGGTCTGGGGAGTCACACTGCCACCGTGACTCTCGTCCCACAGGTGCTGTGTCCTGGAATCGCAGCCGTTCGAGCAGGGGGCAAGGGCTGCTGCGGCGCAGGATGCTGTGGAAACCGCTGTAGAGTAAGATAAATGAGCAAGTAACTAAATAACAAAATTAAGAAGGGATTCAGAACCAGATCTCTTTAACTGCCCTCATGGAGACACAGCACCTTAATTTTAGGTCTGAATGAGCCTGCCCATAAGGAACTACAACTCCCATGAGCCTCTGAGGCCCTACCTCTTAAAGTTAGTTTAACTTCAAACCCGGGGCTTGACGGGAATTGTATTTTCTTTTTCTTTCTTTCTTTTTTTTTTTTTTTTTTAACGAGGAATTGAACTCAAGACTTCGTGCTTGCCAGGCAGACCTCGTGCTTGCCAGGCAGACCTTGTGCTTGCCAGGCAGGAATTGTATTTTTGGGGCTCTACCTCTGACCTGTATCCCCAGCCCCAGGAAATACATATATAATTTTTTTGTATGTGTATCGGGGATTGAACTCACAACCTAGCGCTTGCCAGGCAAGCGCTTATGCCGCTGAGCTAAATCCCCAATCCCAGGAAATATATTTTTACACTGGTTGGCGGGGTGCTCCGCAATCTGGTGGGCTGAGGAGGGTGCAGGGGGCGGCCCCATTCATCTCATCTTGCGCCTGCATTCCAGATGCTACGTTCAGTCTTCTGCTCAGCCTTCGGATTGCTTGGTGCCATCTACTGTCTCTCCGTGTCAGGAACCGGGCTCCGAATTGGACCCAAGTGCTTAATGAAGGGCGAGTGGGGCTACCACTTCAAGGAAACCTCGTAAGATGGGCCTGTATTTTAGGTCCCCATTCTGTGCATCTCCTGCTAACGTGGGCCGGGTCACCAGGGAGGATGGGGTTGAGCCGAGCTGCCCCGCAGGTGTCAGACTAGCACTCCCCAACTCCTTTCAGATGTGCAGAGGATGAGGTAGGTGGAGCCACCTCCTGGCTCACGTGCCCCTGCCCCTCCACAGAGGCGGTTACTTGTTCAACAAAACTCAGTGGAATTTGTGTGAGGAGCCACCTAACGTGGTCGCCTGGAACGTGACACTGTTCTCCTTGCTCACGGCTGCTTCCGGCTTGGAGATCATACTCTGTGGGATACAGCTGATAAACGCGACCCTTGGTGTCTTCTGTGGAGACTGCAGGAAAAAGGTGGGACCACAGGGCTGGAGCTGTGCAGGGAACCTGCGCGCTCCTGCCTGCGTCATCACCCACCTTCTCTTCCCGCAGGGCGCAGCTGAGTGAGGATCCACTGGCCTGGAGTGGAGTCTGCTTGTTTTGGAGGCCTGCCGGGCCTTCCCTCTTCTTGGCTCTTTGTAATAAACTCTCTTGCGCTCCCTTCCCAGTCTCAGATCGTGCCCTGTGCGAGGCCGATCAGAGAGACTGAAGCCTGTGATCCTACTGCACCTACCCTGCCTGTTATTCTCACAACATAGTTAAGGAGCTACTCAGGTGCGCAGAAAATACGGACAAGTTCTGTGCTCTTCAAAAACTTTACAGAGAGCCGGGCGTGGTGGCTCACGCCTGTAATCCCAGCACTCGGGAGGCTGAGACAGGAAAATCAAAAGTTTGCGGTCACCCGAGACTATACAGTGAGACTGTCTCAAAAAACAGCAATAAAAGTACTATGGATTTGGGGGGATGGAGACGATGGAGAAATGGAGGGCGGGGCTGGAGCCGGAAATTGGTCACACATTTGGGAGAGGCAAGCCACTGAACAAGCTGCTTCCCTTGCCAGAACACCAAGCCCCAGACAAAGGACGTCACAGTCTGCCTAGGGTGTAAATTAAACGCACCCTGGTGGTTGAGCAGGTCCTTTCCTGCCATCCAGGGAGGCTTTCACCTGACCTCAGCTTTCGGTATTTTGCCTCATCTTTATTTCTCCATCCTCTCGTCATCCATTCCCAGGAAACTTTGGGAGCTGGCTGGATGCAGTACCCCCCAAAATAGTTTAGCACCCTAAACTCTGGAAAATGAGGCTTTAAAACCATTATAACATTTGTCACCTAACTTGGCAGAGTTTCCCAATCTCAGGTGACTGATGGCTCTGAAACACGACCTGAGCTCTTAATGACGTCCTCAGAAGGCCAAGTTGACCTTCACAAAATCGCTTAAGTACATTTTTCTGAACTGCAGGGCGATAACTTGCACCTACCTGCCGTGGACCTCTGAGACTAAACTAGCATGCAGAGCTGGCTCGGTGCTGGTTAAGGAGGGAAAGGGGACAGGCGGTTCCCTGACCCTAAAACAAGCGAGACAGTCAAGGCTGAGAAGTTTTACTAGTGTGGAAAGTGGGACTGCAGGGGGGACCGCATCCCTGCCGGCAGAGGGCGACAAGAACCTCAAGCGCGGCAGCAGAACAGTCGCAGGTCGTTTAGTGCAGTGTCATCTCCGAGTCCTCTCGGCGCCTCGATCTTGGTCTGCAGGCCGCACACCCCTTTGGAGCACGCGTCGCTCCACTCCCCGAACTCCCCCCAGCTCAGCCCCGGCCCCTCCAACTCCGAGCCGTCCGAGCAGCGGAAGCGCACGTTGTTCGCCGCGGTGTTGTCCCCAGGGGTCTCAGCTGCTTCCACGCGAAGCGCGAAAGCCGTTAGGAAGCCTCTGTCGGGACACCACACTGGCTCACTCCACGCACCCCACCTGCAAAATAAGGGGGGACGCTCGGCTCCGGCCGCTCCCAACACCCCCAGCAGACCCAGGCCCCGGGACTTGCCCAGCCAGGTGCTGCGCTGTCTCTGGGTTGGGTCGAGGCCCCGATCTTTAGAGAGGTGCAAAGGGGAACTAACCCCCCCACACCCACACACACACCCCAGGCTCCCTGGAGGAGTCTCCCTGCTGGGACCGGCCACCCAGGGGCTCCTTGGCCCCTGCACCCCACCTTCCAGACTTGGATTCCACAACGTGCTGGGCAGCCCCACGAGTGCAGTGCAGCCGGATCCCGTTCAGAGCCGTGTCATCAGCACTAATGCCTTGAACCGGCTCCACCTGGGGTCGGGGAGCAGTGGAGCCAGTCAGAACCGCCTTTCTCAGTCCAGGCCCTTTGCATCTCTGCGCCCTCCGGGACTAGGCCCCAGCACTCACCTTGAGTGAAAAGCCGCTGGCAAGGTAGCCATCAGGACACATCTCAGGCCAGGCCCAGTCGCCCCAGGGACCCCCGTTGGTTACTTCAATGACCGGTACGAGGTCCGCCTGTGAGTGTCTACAGCAACCTGCACACAGCAGCAGCAGCAGGGTGGCTGCAGTGCCCTGCTCCATCCTGCCTTGTCTGCGAACCAGGAAGCTGATGCCCTTTATACCAGCCCTGTGTCCACCAGGGCTCCCATTCAGGAAGGACCGCCAAGATTAAGTGACATCTGATACTAATCTGCCCCAGTAAACTGGCAGCTGGATTCCAGCTCTGGGGGCAGAGGCTCCGGGCCATGGGGAAGGAGGGCAGGAAGCAGGAGGTTGAAATGACCACCGGCTGGACATTTTCTTTGCAGACATGCCTCACAACAATTTAGGAAATGGGGACTACCTACCCTTTTTTTGTAGTGACACAGAAACATTCCAGCCCTGGGAATGGAGACCAGGACTGAGGAGCAAAGGACCTCATGGGAATCCAGGGGTCACCCAGGGACCTCCAGAATGTGAAAGAGCATAGCGGGAGCATGTGGCAAAAAACCATCAACTGCAGGAAAGGTTTTCTTAGAGAACAAGACCCTGCCCCTTTGAGAATCTGGAACATCAGATATACCCAGAGAGGTGAGGATAATTCTAAGGATAGTTTAAGACAGGGAAATGAAAACTCTAAAGGAGTTTGTTTCTTCCATTGCTTCCAAGATCCTTCCATCTTTCTATGATTTTCTTTCTGTGACCAGCAGGTGGCCTCTTAATTTACACAACAAAAAGCAAAACCTGGCTGGATTTCTTAGGACACCAAACCTGAATTGCCTGTCCCTGACAGGCCTTCCTTTATTTACCCAACATATACCTAGGAGCAATAACCGTTTTGCCCCAAGGAGTATTGTAAGTGCTGTAAGTGCACACAAAACACACAGCAACCTCCTTGATCAGAGCTCACATTCCAGTGGGGGTGACAGATGGAAAATTCTCTCCCAGCGGATCTTGAGCTCTGTGAAGACATTTTTAAATTCTGGAGGCCTAGGACAGGGCCTGGCATTCAGAAATAGTAAAAAGATTGAGATGGCTAATGGTTGAGGAACCAATCTAGAGTTTACAAAATTAAAAACACAGAACGTAAAAGCATGAAGCCTAACACACAGGTATGATCTAAATATACAGTGATTTTTTAAAATGTACTATAAGAAAACACAGCTACCATTAATTCTCAAAATTCTCCTGCTACTTCAATATATGTATTCCATAATTGTTGACATTTCCTGCCTTAATTTTTATGTATTTATTTTCTTGGGACGGGGCTCACTATGTAGATTAGGTTGACCTTCAACCTACTATGTAGCCCAGGATGACCTCAAACCTCCTGCCTCAGGCTTCTGAGCACTGGGACTACACTCCCAGACACCACACCAGCACTTGCCTTGTCTGAAGTAGTTCTGGAGGACCAGTGAATGCTGCCAGTGAGGCCCACCCCACAGAGAGGCACGCTTATAAAACATTGCTGTGTGGCACCAAGTACCTTATTCAGCCAATCTGCACTGCGTGGCTTCTGGCTGTTCCCTGGAGTCAAAATGGCCATGAAACATAAACATTTGTAATGGATGCAGGACACCCAACGCTCCATGATAGTGTAAGTAAAGACATAAAAGAGGACTTCCAAGCGCTACTTCAGAAAGTGACAAGCAAAAAGCAGAGGCTGGAGGAGTCAAATACCAGCTGGGCCAATTAGCAAGACCCTGTCTCTGTGAGTTGTCTCTTCACTCTGTTGCTGATTTCTTTTGCTATGCAAAAGACTTTTTAAAGATGATATACTGGTTGTTGATTCTTTGTGATAGTTCCTTGCGACTGGGGTTTTGTTCATAAAAATCTTTGCCTATACCAATAACTTCAAAAGTTCTAATTATTCTATCTTCCAGCCCATTTAGTGTTTCTGTTGTTTTGGTTTTGGTCTGGCTTTTTGCCTTTTTGAGATAAGGTCTCACTATGCAGTTCAGGCTAGTTTGGGGCTCATTTTGTAGCCCAGGCTGGTCTCAAACTCACAACGATCCTCCTGCCTCAGCCTCCCAAGTGCTGGGATTATAAAATACAACCATGCCCAGCTTTACAATAATAAATTTTTAAAATTTAAATATTCCCAATATTTTTCAGTCACATCTTGTACATGATCAAGAGGTCCTGTGTCCTGTGGTTTGTCCCCTGGGAATAGGATAGAGCCTTCAGAAATGAGTGTTTGAAGTTGGGCATGGCACACACCTGTAATCCACATCAGGGCGTTTGTAGTTGGGACACTCTGGGTGGCTAAGGTGGAAAGATTACAAATCTGAGCCTCGCCTAGGCAATTTAATGACTCAAACCCAATCTTAAAACAGAAACATCTGCATAATCATCACATTGTTTCATTAGCGTGATAAGGAAAAACATGTATTTTGTCCCGGAGAGAATAATGTTAGCCAAGCTACGACTCAGGCCACACCTGTGACCCATTCTGAGTTGACCTTTGGATGTCTTAAATTTTTGATGCGCTATAAGGTTTGGATTTTTTACACATGGATTTCTAGTTGTTCCAGTGCATTTATTGAGGGTACAATCCACTTAATTGCTTTTGCATCTTAATTGTTTTTGCATCTTTGCCAGAAATCAAATGTCTATTACGTGGGTATTTATTTTGGGACTTTTATTGGTACTTTGGTTTGTCCATCTTGATATCAATGCCATTTTGTCATGATTGGTGTAGCATTGTGATAAATTGTGGGATTGGGGAGGATTGGAGCTCTAATTTCATTCCTTTATCAAAGTTGTTTAGACTATTCTGAGTCTTTTTATTTTTACAGAAATGTGAGAATTAAAATGTTAATCTATATAAAAATGATGTCGATAGTTGGATAAGAGATTATGTTGTCTGATCTTTATTATTTTCTTCTATTCTTTTTTTGTTTCATTGTCTTTTATTTTTAATTTAAAAAATCCACACAACTGGGGGTGTACTTTAGTGCAAAGGCTCTGGGTGTTCTTTAGAGTCCGGGAAAGCACTCCCCCAAACTTAGTAAGATTTATGAGGCAATTGTGGTCAGCTTTTCACTTGTTTACATATATTACCTCAATCCTCACTGAGGTTACAAAGTACCCAATGTTATCTTCAAGTCTCAGGAACCCAAGCCCAAAGCTAGGTTGCGGCCCACTCCATGCCCAGTGGGGAGCTGGTTCTCACTGCTTCAAATTCCCCAAATCTTTGTTTTGTCCCTCATCTTGGGGGAACTGCCCTCTAGGGCAAAGGACACAGGGAAAGGAGCTTTAAGAAATTAATTATCAACCCTTTGTGCCTCTTCCCACCGTGGAGGCAAAGGGACACCTACAGTCTCTAGGCTGGTGTTCCAGCAGCAGCCATGCAGGTCGCGCTGCCATCCCCGGCTCTGAGGTGCTGGTTCCGACACGCAAGTGCTCTCGCTGTCTTGGTGCTGATGGTTTATCTGAGCGCTCGGGTCCTCCGTGAGTGGCCCCTTCCCTCCGCTGCTCAAGCAGGAGCCCAGGAGTCCACGAGTTGGGAACCCAAGCCCCCTCCTGGAGCCTGACCACTCTGCTTCACTGTCCCCAGGCGTCCTGTCAGGCTGCAAGCCTGGGGTACAGTCCTGCATACCAGAAGGACCGCTGCCCTTGCAGGTACGCTGGAACCAGGCTGGGCCTGGGGCCTCCAGACAGAACCCTGGACGGGGGAAGGGCGCCATCCTAGGGTCTGGAGAAGAGTGGGTCCTCTCCCTCGCCTTCCCTTCCCATCACAAGCTATGGGTGCTGCAGGACAGACCCCTGCTAGGCCCTAGAACAGTTTCTTCAGAGCCCAGCGGGGATGCTGGCCAAGCAAGCCCAGCAGGCAGGGGCTCTGCTCCGGCTCCCTTCACCTCAGGTTACCCCCAGGTTCCGCACGAGTCGGGACTCCTGGTGGCCCCAGTGTGGGAAGAGCCTCAGTGTCTGGGACCTCAGGGAATGCTGGGCCGCATGACAAGGTCCTTCCGGGCCAGCCTGAAGCCCGAAGGGGATGTAGAGCTGTCGCGGTACCTGGCAGGATGGAGGGAACTGACCAGGTGAGTGAGCGGTCTCCCTTCCCCAAGCCAGTCCTCGCCTCTTCCTCCGAAACCATCGCCAGGCCTCACCAAATGCACAGGTTCCTAACTCCCCTGGGCTCCATCGTCGCTTTCGCCGCGAGCGAGGCCTTCATCAAGGTGACAGCCCTCGAGGCTCGCGTGCAGGGCCCAGACGCCGCGCACTACACGTCCCTGGCGACCATGGCGGCGTGGGAGCAGCGCGCGGGCTCCGCCCAGGCCTCCGGCTCGCGCACGCTGCTGCTGCTGCACCGCGCGCTGCGCTGGTCCCAGCTCTGCCTCCAGCGGGTGGCGACAGGGACGCTCGGAGGCCCCGACGCGGGCGTGCAGTGTGGCGACGCCTACCGCACCGCCCTGGCCCCGCACCACCCCTGGCTCATCCGCCAGGCTGCCCGCCTCGCGTTCCTCGCCCTCCCGAGCCGCGGGCGCTTGCTCGAGCTGGCGTGTCCAGCAGCCGGAGAAGCGGATGCGCGGGCTGCGCTGGCCCGGGCCGCCGGCGTCCTGGAGCAGGTCTACAACCGCACCCAGGACCTGCTGGCCCGGCACAGCCTGCTGCAACTGGCCTGAGGACTGCGGGGAGCCGGGAAAGCGTGCCGCGGCCGGGGGGGTCCGCGCAGCCCAGGCAGCGCCACCTGCACCAACAGGAGCCCCGGGGCGGGGCCAAGGAGGGACCGCCCACTTGGTGACGTCACCGTCCCTAAGCCCCGCCCCTGCGAGGGCGGTTTGGCCTCAACCTTCCAGCCGCTGTCTCCGGGAGACCAGGAGCTGCGAAATAAAGAATGTTTTTTGGCAGATGTTTTCTTTGATGACTGCAGGCTCTTGTGGGGGTGGGGGACACAATATGGGAAGATGCGTCATTTCTGTTCCCGGTAGCGGGGACTCACGCTTCCCGTGGGGCCTATTTCAGCAGCCCCAGTGGATTTCCTCGCCAACGCCAGGGCTCCAGCCTGGACCTGCCCGGTGAGCGTCGCTGACTTACAGACCGCGCTGTCGGGGCTCTTCCTCAGGAGTGCGCCTTCTCCAGTGTGCTCGGCTTTGCAAATAGCACCTCTGCCTCCTACACCGAAGCCTCAGAGCTGGGCCCAGCCTCGCGCCGAGCAGGGGCTCAGCGTCTCTACAAGGGACTCCTGGGTCACTCGCACAATAGAGTGAAAGAATGTGACCGCTTTGAGCTCTCAAATTATACCCCTCGCCACTTCTTTCTGGACTCAGAATCCTATATATACACCTACCTATTATGCAGTTCCACTTCGATGTCACAAGGCACAGCAAACCGAGCTTTTGGCTCCTCCTTCTCCCCAGATACTCTCCCTGTGTAGTCTCTGCTCTCTCCATAAATAATAGCTCTACTCTGCAGGTCCTTCGAACAAAAACGTTGTTACACTATACGGACTCTTGTGTTTCCCTTTCATCGTTACACGAACATCCAATCTGTGCGAACCTGACCATTTCCCACTTTCTCTGCTACTGCCCTTATGTATCCCGTGGATTGTTGCAATATTTATATATGTACTTATTGGAAACCGAGTCTTGCTGTATAGCCTAAACTGGCCTCAGTCTGTCGAGTGGTGGGATTACAGGCATGCACACCCATTGCTAGCTGCAATGCCCTGTTAATGTCTCCCTGTATATCCTTTTCCTTCCCCTAATGTATTGCCAGTAATGTGAAAAAAGATACCCTTTAAAATATAGATCGCAGGGCTGGGGATTTAGCCCAGTGGCTTAAGTGCCTGCCTTGCAAGCGTGCGGTCGTGAGTTCGAACCCGGAACCCATACAAAACAAAACATAGATCGTAAACTACGCATTGTGGTGAATGCCCATAATCCCAGCATTTGAGAGGCTGAGGCAGGAGGATCACTGCAAATTCGAAGCCAGCCTGAGCTGCAAATGAGACCCTTCCTCAAAAAACAAAACAAAGATGCAAATCATCTGTCACTTCCCTTGTTGAAATTTTCCAACGGCTTCCCATTGAACCAGCACTAAAATTGTTGAAGGTTTAACAGGAAATTTTCAGGATGATCTTTCCAGTGAGAAAATACTTTGTAAAGTGTTTACCTGCAATAGCCAAAATGACCTCAGTATACACTAAACATGTCAGGCCTTATTCTGTCTCAGGACTTTTGTACTTGCTATTCCCTCAGTCCAAAATACTTTTCTCCAATAGATAAATGGCATCCTTCATTAAACTAGGAAAATAAGAACAAATTAATCCTAAAAAAATCAGAAGGAAGGCTGGATGTACTGGCGTGTGCCTGTAATCCCAGCACTCGGGAGGCTGAGGCAGGAGGACTGCTGTGAGTTTGAAGCCAGCATGGGCTACCAAGTGAGTTTCTAGCCAGCCTAAACTGCATAGTGAAACCCTGGGTCTAAAAGACCAAAATTTTTAAAAATGGAGGTAGGTGTGGTGGCGCATCCTTGTAATCTCAGCACTCAGGAGGCTGATGCAGGAGGATTACCGTGAGTCCAAGGCCAGCCTGAACTACATAGCAGGACCTTGTCTCAATAAGTAAATAGAGGCCAAGGATTTATCTCAGTGATGCAGCACTTGCCTGGCAAATATGAGGTCCTGAGTTTGATTCCTGGTACTCCCCAAATAAATAAACAAATAAACAGATACAGAAGAAATGAAGTAATATAGAGCAGAGATAAACAACCGAAGAATAGAAAGAACAGACAAATATGAAACTATAATTTTTATTTTTTTCAGTACTGAGGCTCAAACCCAGAGCCTCCTGCATGCCCAGAAGGTGTTCTGCCACTGAGTTATGCACCAGCCCCCCAAATTGATTCTTTAAGAAGACCATCAAAATAGACAAACCCTGGGGGAGGGCTGTAGCTCACAGGCTAAGCACATACGGAGCCCTTGGTTCAGTCCCCAGCACTACACAGGCACAGTGGAGAAATCTTCAGCTGGGTTGGCAGAGAAAAACAGAAGGTATAAATTATGAAAATCAAGAATGAATCTAGCTGAGAATAACAGAGTTTGCTTGTGATCACAGTACTCCGGGAGCCTGAGGCAGGGTTCCAAGTCGAGCCCAGCCTTAATGACCTATTGGTTTCTATGGTTTGGTTCTGTTTTATTATATTTTGATTTGTTTTGTTTTTTGAGACAAGGTCTCTCTTACTATGTAGCCCCGGCTGACAATGAACTCACTATGCAGCCCAAACTGGCCTGGATCTCACAGTGATCTTCCTGCCTCAGCCTCCCAAATCCTGGGATTTCAGGTGTGTGTCATCACTTCCAGCAAGTGGTAGAATGTTTACCCAGTATGTGTGAGGACATGGATTTGATCACCAAAATTGCAAAACAAAACAAACAGTTTCCCAAATTAATCCAAAGTAAACTCAATCCCTACCAAAATGCCAACAGCTTTTTTTTTCAGAAATAAATAAGTTAATCCTAAAATTCATATAGAAATGAGATCCAGATATCCACACAATCATTTTTCATATTTTTTTCTGTAGTCTGGGGAACAAACTCAGGCCTTGCACTAAGTACATCCCGTTTGTTACTCCCATCCCCTTTTTAAAGACAACATCGTGCTTGGATTCACTGCTGAATTTTACAAGAAATTTAGAGAATACCTAACACCACTACTTCTCAAATCTTTAATGAAATTGAAAGGGAAGCAATACTCCCCAATTCATTCCTGGAAGGACTCATTACCCTGATACCAAAACCAGAGAAGAAAGAGAACCAACTAAGGAAGCTAATTACAGGTCAATCTCCCTGATGAACATTGATACAAAAGTCCTCAATAACATACTGGCAAACAGACTGCAGCAAATCATCGAGAAGACTGTACACCATGACCAAGTGGGATTCATCCCAAGGATGCAGGGATGGTTCAACATATGTAAATCCATAAATGCAATACACCATATTAACAGAGCCAAGGACAAAAATCACTGGATCACCTCAATAGATGCAGAAAAAGCTTTTGACAAAGTCCAGCACTAATTCATGATTAAAAAAAAAAACTCTCCAGAAAATTGGAATAGATGGTCTTTATCTTGATCTGATAAAGCCATCTATGACAAACCAGCAGCCAACATTATACTCAATGAACAAAAAAATGAAAGCTTTCTCCCTAAAATCAGGAACAACACAAGGATGTCCACTGTCTCCATTCTTATTCAACATAGTCCTGGAAACTTTAGTTGGAGCAATTAGACAGGAGAAATAAAAAGAATAAAGATAAGGAAGAAAAAGTTAAAATGTCATTATTTGCAGATGACATGATATTTTACTTAGAAGACCTCAAAAACTCCACCAAAAGACTTCTAGATTTAATAATCAAATTCAGTAATGTATACAAAGTGAACACTTAAAAATCAATAGCCTTCCTGTACACAAATAACAAACTCACTGAGACAGAAATCAGGGAAACAATACCTTTTACAATAGCATCCAAATAAATGAAATACCTAGAAATCAATCTAAAGAAGGATGAGAATGACTTCTACATTGAAAACTACGTACTCTGAAAAGGGAGATTGATGAGGATATCAGAAAATGGAGAGATAGTCTGTGCTCGTGGGTAAGAAGAACCAACATAGTGAAAATGGCCACACTTCCAAAACTGTGATACAGATTCAATGCAATCCCAAACAGAATTCCAATAGCATATTCACAGAATTAGAGAAGACAATCCTAAAATTCATCTGGAACCTGAAGAGACTTGGAATAGCAAAGGCAATCCTAGGCAACAAAGACAAGACAATCCCTGACTTGAAACTATACTATAAAGTTATTGTGATAAAAACAGTGTGGGGCTGGAAATTTAGCTCAGCAGCACAAGCACATGCCTGGCAAGCGTGAGGTCGTGAGTTCGATCCCCGGTACCGATAAATAAATAAATAAATAAAGCTGTGGTACTGATAAAAAAAAAAAAAAAACAGACTCGAAGATCAGATTAGAAGATGGAAAAAGCTGCAGACACACTAAGCCACCTTATCGTTGACAAAGGTGCCCAACATTCACTGGAAGAAAGACAGCCTCTGTAATAAATGGTGCTCTGCACATGCCGAAAATTAAAATTGGGCCCAAATCTTTCACCATGTACTAAGCTAACATCAAAATGGGTCAAAGGCCTTCATCTTAAAACAAAAACATTAAATCTGCTGAAAGATAGAGTGGGTAAAATTGTTGAAGACATTGGTGCAGGCAAAGACTTTATGAACAAAATCCCGATTGCACAGTAACTATCACAAAGAGTCAATAAATGGGGTCTCACCCTGCTGAGAAGCTTTTGCATAGCAAGAGAAACCAGCATCAGTGTGAAGAGACAGCCCACAGCTTGTGGATGAAAATGCTTGCCAGCGGTCCTCAAGCAAAGGATTACTACACAGAACAAAGAACTCAAACAATCAGTCCTCCCAGATTTAAAGACCTCTCCAAAAATGGGCATCTGAGATGAACACACACTTCTCAGCTCAAGACATACAAACAAAATAAATACGTGAGAAAATGTTCAACAGCATTGGTCATTCAAGAGATGCAAATTTAAAAAACACTGAGATTTCACCTCACCCCGGAAAGAATGGCTATTATCAAGAAATCAACCAATGACAAATGCTGGAGGGGTTGTGGGGAAACAGGAAGCCCTCTCCACTGTTGGTGGGAGTGCAGACTGGTACAACCACGGTGGAAATCAGTGTGGAGACTCCTCAAAAAACTAGGGCTGGAGGTCCCATTCAACCCAGTTATTCCCCTTCTGGATATCTTCCCAAAATAATTAAAAACATCATATCAAAGTGATATATGTGCACACATGTTTATAGCAGCACA